GAGGAGGGCGTTAGCGCGGGGCGCCTACCCCTGCCGCCGCCGATGCCACGACCAGACACCGTGACGTCACCGCCTGACGGGCCATTTTTGGCCTGCAGGCCAGCCGCTCCGCTCGGGCCGGCCGGGGCGGGTAGGACGGGACCCGGGGGCAGGGCGGGCATACGCACGCACGGACAACCCCAGAGCGCCGGCGGTGTACCGAGAGGAGCATCTACACCAAGTGCTGAGTGCTGTTCGTGGTGTCTGCACAGTGAGCAGGGCTCAGTGGCGGCAAGTATACTTGGCAGGCCATCCTAAGGCCACCCGTTGAACATCGTGGACTAGAAGACGCACGGCGTGCGCAGCAGGAGTGTCGATATCGCCACCACCAACTCGAAAAGTATTCGGCATGTCCCATTTTCTTGTTGACCTGCGCGCCTATTCACCTCCTCTTGAGCGCCACCGCCCCACACGCCGCAGGGCAAGGCGCCAGCCCGAGCTCGCCTAGCCCCTCGCCCCCCTCGTGTCCTCCGCGCCGCAGGCCCCCGTCATCCTCCCCCACGGTCACCCGCGCGCGGACGAGAAAAACATCGAATGCGCGGCGCGCACGCAGACTGCAGACAGTGCAGCAACTTGTTTCGCGAAAGACCATCATCTGCAGCCTCCCCCTCCCCACACCACCACTACCAGTGCTGCCGCCGCCGCTGCCCGCGAAAAATAGACGCCCAAACTATTTCAACAGAATCAGCCACTAGAGTCCTCGAACATTTTCTCCTTGGCAGCAACCGACTCACAAAACACACACACATTTACCAACAAATTCGCACACTCACGCACTCGCGTACCTTACGCGCTAACACCGCCCTCGCCCTCCCCTCCCCACCTCGAGCTACAGGCGGCGAGTAACATGGCACACATGATGCAGCAAACGGTGCTTCCGCGCACCAACATTGAGGTCAGCCGGGGCTGAGGAGGTGGTGCGGTTAGGGGCGGTGACACCTCGGCTGACATGACCTGCGCGGTGCGCGACCAGACGTTTTACGAAGCGCCGGCGGCAGACGGGCGGCACCCGGTGCACCCCTTGCTCGCCAACAAGAGCCAGGACAAGCGGAAGATGTCGGTCTGTTCTGCATGCGCCGGCAAATGTTGTCGAAAAGAATTGCGCAAGAGGAGCCCCCCTCGCCTCACTGACATCACGCGGCTGCGTAATGTTGGACCGAGGGGGAAAGGGAGGGGGGCTTAGGACCTCTACAGAGACACATGCCCCCTCCCCTCGTCTCCCACGCACATACCCTGTTGGCACACTAACGCGGACAATAATATGGAGGAGCGGGGAAAATCTATCCCGTTGGAATGTGATGCAGATGGCTTCATAGCCACGTCCTCGCCTCGCGCAGAGTTCCCCTCCCTCTCACCGCGACACACATCGGTCTCACCCCCCC